TTGAGTTGGAGTCTCACTCTGTCGCCCAGACTGGAGTGCAGTGGCACGCTCATGGCCACCACGGTCTCGACCTGCTGTGCTCAGGCGATCCTTTCGCCTCAGCCTTCCAAATAGCTGGAACTACAGGCACGCACCATCATGACTGGCTAATTTTTTGATTTATTGTAGAGATGAGGTCTCACCAAGTTGCCCAGGCTGGTCTTGAACTCGTGGGCTAGGACAATCCTCTCACCTCAGTCTGCCAAAGTGCTGGTATTATGAGCATGAGCTACTGCACCCGGCCTGTTTTCAGTGTTTTAAGACTGGGAATATTCAAAAACAGATTTCATGTTTGGAAAATCTGATTTCTGAGGTTTTGAAGAAAGTCGGGGTAGAGGAGATTTATAGATGCCCGAGGCTGAACCTTAATGTTCAGGTCTCTGGGCAGGTTGAGGATGGGGGATGGCCTGAGTGGGGTGGTGCTGGGGCCTAAGGGCTTTCTGCTTAGGATCCCCGTCTCCCACAGATGCTGCCCTGGCCTGCCCTCCCTGCTGCCCCTGTGTTTGCCACACCACTCGGCCTGGCCTGGAGCTCCGATGGGTGCCTGTAGGGGGTTATGAGGAGGGCCTTAGGGCCCCCTGCCGGGCTTCTCCACTACGGACCTCCCGTTCCCGCCCCAACCCTCCAAGCATCAGTCACCCCCCAGTCGTCCTCACGTCCTATCGCTCCACTGCCGAGCACAAACTCCTGCCACCCCTCAAGCCTCCCAAGCCAACTCGCGTGAGGCAGGACACCATCTCCGGGGACCCCCCACAGCCAGATCTGGATCCACCTTCCGAAGATGGAATCCAAACAGGTGCAGGGCTGGGGGAGTGGACTTCTGGGGTGTGAAGGGACAGGGTAGAGGTGGGGCAGTCTAAAGCCCCACAAACTAGAGCCCTCAGCAGGCTGTGGGCTCTTTGCCTCTCCGCCAGCTGCTACTCTGGGGCTGATGGAAACCACAGTTTTCAAAGTGACCGTCTCTGCTGGGGTTGGATCAGTAGTCTGGGGATGGAGATCCTGGAGGTTTGCTCTCTTCACTCTGGCTTCTCTCTCCAGTGTATAGTCCTGGCGAAGTTCCTCAGAATGCTCCTCTAGCAGCCACAGAGGAAAGGTATCCAACACGCCCACCCTCTCTCCTTCTTTCCCTACCATGCTCCTACCTGAGGGCAGACTCACCTTCAGATCTAGCTAAGTCTTACCTCCACAAAGGTAAGGGGAGAAGGGCTGGGCTCTAGAGACAAGAAGCCCTGGTTTCTAATTGTTAGGTTAAAAACCCAGCGGGCCTTCCGAAATGTTAGGTCAGGCCCGATGTTGGGGGGGGGGGTCTGGTTTGCGATCTGGTGCCGAGAAGGATGCAAAGAATTGCACGGTAGTTAGATTGGAAAATATAGTTTATTGAGAAAATAAATGAGAGAGACAGAGAGAGAGAGAAGAGATTCACCTCCCCAAGATAGGGGAGGTGGCCAAAGCTTAGGAAAACATGGGCTGGGAGCCATAGCTTAGCAAGGCAAGGGCGAATGGCTACCTGAGGTTAAAGCCTTTTAAACTTTCCCTTTGATGGGGGCAGGTTGTGAAGGTGATTGGGTGGTAGTCTGCTTCACATAATCACGGAGGGGACAGGCAAGCACAGGTACTGACATCAGGAGAGGGACAGCAGGCAGATGGGTGCGTCAGTCACATGATTGCTGCCATGGTGATGGGGTCTGCCTCTGTCATGAAGGTCATGAAGGGCTGATGAGTGGAGGCAAATACTCGACATAGAAAAGCTAATTAGTACAAAACAAGACAAAACAAGCTGGGGCAGGGGTTTAAGACAATTAGCAATAGCTACCTCTGAGAAACTGGTTCTGTCTTTGGCTAGTGATTAGAGGATAAATTAAAGTGAACTGCTAGAGAAACAAGACAAAGCTACGCAATGTTAAAATGACTGCTCATACTGGGCGCGGTGACTCACGCCAGTCATCCCAGAACTTTGGGAGGCCGAGGTGAGAGGATTGCCTGAGCCCACGGGTTTGAGACCATCCTGGGAAACTTGGTGAGACCTCATCTCTACAGTAAATCAGAAAAATAGCTGGGCTTGGTTGTGCATGCCTGTAGTTCCAGATACTTGGAAGGTTGAGGTGGAAGGATCACCTGAGCCCAGTAAGTTGAGGCTGCGGTGGCCGGGAGCGTGCCACTGCACTCCAGCCTGGGCGACAGAATGAGACTCCAACTCAAAAAACAAAACAAAACAAAAAAAGGTTGCTATTTGGGTATATTCACTCTATGTTATGTCTTTTCACTCATTTCAGCTCTGTCCCTTATCAGTTATGTGACCTCATACAAATCCTTAACCTTTCTGGGTCTCAGTGTCCTCTTCCGTCAAATGGGGATAAGCATACCAACTACTTCATGAAGTTAGGGTATGATATAGGGTAAAGAGCTAGGCCCATAGTAAATGCTTCATTTTAATTTCCTTCCTTCACCTTGAGACTCTATTGCAATTATTGTTTGAAATCCAATTGGTAATCACAACTATCTCTTCTATTACCTTGGGTTTTTTTGGTTTTTTTTGTTTTTTTGAGTCAGGGGGTCTTACTCTGTTGTCTAGTCTGGAGTGCAGTGGCACAATCACGGCTCACCTCAGCCTCAACCTCCTAGGTTCAGGTGATCCTCCTGCCTCAGCCTCCCAAGCAGCTGGGACTACAGGCACATGCCACCACACCCAGCTAATTTTTTAATTTTTTTTGTAGAGATGAGATCTCACTATGTTACCTAAGCTGGTCTCTAATTCCTGGGCTCAAGTGATCCTCCTGCCTTAGCTTCCCAAAGTGCTGGGATTACAGGCACGTGAGCCACCATGCTGGCCTTATCAGGGCTATTTAATCATCTTAGAGTCACCATTGTCAAAGTCCGTTCATTTACTCAACAAACGTTTAGTAGTGTGATTTTTAGCTTGGGAAATGGGTGTGGGTAGTGGTGTCAATGACCATAACAGGAAAGACAGAGAACTGCAGGTAGGTTGGGAAAGTGTGAGAGTTTGCATCTGATCCTGTTGAAAGTAAATTAGAGAGACACTGAGGCACAAATAACAGGAGATAACAGGAATGAATGGTGCCCGCTTAGTTCAGTGCCCCCCCCCCCACAACAGGCACACACAAAAATCTAGAGTTTGGGCTGGACGCTGTGGCTCACACCTGTAATCCCAGCACTTTAGGTGACTGAGACAAAAGGGCTGCTTGAGCCCAGGAGTTTGAGGCCAACCTGGACAGCATAGCAAGACCTTGTCTGTATAAAAAAATAAAAAAAATAACTGGGCTGGGTGTGGTGGCTCATGCCTGTAATCCCAGCACTTTGAGAGGTGGGGGTCAGAAGATTGCCTGAGTCCAGGGGTTCGAGACCAGCCTGGGCAACTGGGTGAGACCTAGTCTCTACAATAAATGAAAAAATTAGCTGGGCATTGTGGCATTTGCTTGTAGTTCCAGCTGCTTGGAAGGCTGAGGCAGAAGGATCACCTGAGCCCAGCAGGTCAAGGCTGCAGTGGCCGTGAGTATGCCACTGCACTCCGGCCTGGGCAACAGAGTAAGACTCCTTTTCAAAAATAAATGAATACATAAAATAAAAATTTTTAAAAATTATCTGGGTGTGATGGCACGTGCCTGCAGTCTCAGCTACTCTGGAGGCTGAGGTTGAAGGATTGCCTGAGCCCAGGAGGTGGAGGCTGTGTGAGTTGTAATCATGCTACTGCACTACAGCCTGGGCAGCAGTGCAAAACTCTGACTCAAAAAAAAAAAAAAAAAATCTGGAGTTTGATCTGGGGAGCACTCCCTTCTGGTATCATGGGAATAGCACCCCTGGGGTGGGCAGCCGCTGTGGTCCTGGGGACTCCCTTCCCCCTCTTTCTCCATAGGGATGAGGAAGGGCTGGAGAGGCTGAAGGAGCAGAACTGGGAGCTGCCCTTGCAGGACGGTGAGGGCCTCTGCACCTGAGGGACCCTGTTGTGACCATCAAGCAGGGGGATGGGTCTGGGGGCACTGGACTTCCCTGAAGTGCTGTGTCTGCCCTCTAGAGCCTCTGTACCAGACCTACCGAGCAGCTGTGCTGTCAGAGGAGCTGTGGGGGGTCGGTGAGGATGGGGGTCCCTCTCCAGCAAATGCTGGAGATGCACCCACCTTCACAAGGCCCCCTGGACCTCGCAACACCCTGTGGCAGGAGCTTCCGGCTGTGCGAGCCAGTGGCCTCCTGGACACCCTCAGCCCCCAGGAGAGGCGCATGCAGGAGGTGGGCGTACCTGGGGTTGGGCAGGGTGGGCCAAGCTTAGGGGAAGGGGTGACCAGGGCCCTAGACTGACAGTGATCAAGGTTTTCCACTCCTACTTGTTCATCTTCCTAGAGCCTGTTCGAGGTGGTGACGTCTGAGGCCTCCTATTTGCGCTCCTTGCGGCTGCTGACCGACACCTTCGTGCTGAGCCAGGCGCTCCGGGACACACTCACCCCGCGGGACCACCACACGCTCTTCTCCAACGTGCAGCGAGTCCAGGGAGTCAGTGAGCGGTCAGTGGGGTCCCATCCTCCCAGGAAACCTGGCCTTGGGCTGCTGAGCACTCCTTTCTCTCTTCCCAGGCCCAGGTCCTTCCTTCCCAGCTCTTCCCTAAAGAACCCGGGAGACCTGGCTCTCTGCCCACCTCCATTGCTTGCTTCCCCCACTTCTTCAGGTTTCTAGGAACTTTACTGTCCCGGGTGCGCTCTTCCCCTCACATCAGTGACCTGTGTGACGTGGTGCATGCCCACGCTGTGGGTCCTTTCTCTGTGTATGTGGATTATGTGCGGAACCAGCAGTATCAGGAGGAGACCTATAGCCGCCTTATGTGAGTGTCCTAGAGGTGTGAGAGGAAGCTGAGGAGGAGGGTGGGTTGAGGCCAGAGGAGGCTGGGGCCTCGGAGCCTCCAGGAAGCCACTAGCTGCCCAGGCCTGCTTCTGCAGGGACACAAACGTGCGCTTCTCCGCGGAGCTGCGTCGCCTGCAGAGCCTCCCGAAATGTGAGCGGCTCCCGCTGCCATCGTTTCTGCTGCTACCCTTTCAGCGCATCACCAGACTTCGCATGCTCCTGCAGGTACCCATCCTGGCCTGGGGTCTTTTCTGCCCCACTAGCCCTATCTTGTCTGTCCATCACCATTTTCTATCCCACCATGAATGCAGACATCACCCACATCACGACTTAATCTGGACCTCTCGATCTAGGACCCAACAAGCCCAGCCGGGAGGTGCCCAAATGGCTTAGGAGGCAGTATAGATGCAGGAGAAGGGCCTCTGGCTGGAGATGAGAGTTTGAGACTGAGCTCTGCCACTAACTAGCTGAGTGACTTGGGCAAATGCCTTCCCCTCTCTGGGTCTCAGGGGGAATGTGGTGAGTGGTCTTTGTAGTTTCCTGCAGCTGTGTTCTTCTACCCACATGACTTCCCAAAGGGGTAATATCACCTCCAAAGAGGCAAAAATTGGTTCTCTGGGAGTAAAAAAAAATCTCATATATTCCAATAGTTGTGGTACTCCAAAGGCCATGGTCCATAAACAGATTTATAATAAAATTAAATATCTGTAGAATTAAAATTTCATGGTTGGGGGGTCATTTAGGGAAAATTATATTTAAAAGGCTCCTTAGTGGGTGATACTGGAAAAAAAAAAGATACTGTTGCAAATTAGAGACTCCCCCCAACCAGGTCACTCAATGAGGTTATCTTTATGTGAATGAAGAGTTTCCAACTAGATTATCAGCTTCTTCTTCTTTTTTTTCTTTTTTCTTTTTTGAGTATGAGTGCCACTCTGTCGCCCAGACTGGAGTGCAGTAGCACGCTTCCGGCCACTGTAGCCTTGACCTGCTGGGCTCTGGTGATCCTTCCGCCTCAGCCTTCCAAGTAGCTGGATCTACAGGCAAGCGCTACCACACCCGACTAATTTTTGATTTATTGTAGAGACAAGGTCTCGCCAAGTTGCCTGGGTGGGTCTCGAACCTATAGGCTCAGGCAATCCACTTGCCTCGGCCTCCCAAAGTGCTGGGATTACAGGCTGAGCCACCGAGCCTGACTTGCTTCTTTATGTCTTACTCAGCTTTATCTAGCCCCAGAGTAGACAACTCAATAATCAAGATGCTTTGACTCAAAAAAAACAAAAACGCAACAGTTATTGAGTTGCTGTTCTAGGTATGGTTCTAAGTCCTATATACCTGTGTAACCTTATTGACCATGATGTGAGGGTAGGAACTATTACTTATCCAACTTTTTTTTTTTTTAAGTTGGAGTCTCACTCTGTCACCCAGACTGGAGTGCAATGGCCGCTCCCAGCCACTGCAGCCTCGACCTGCTGGGCTCTGGGGATCCTTCCGCCTCAGCCTTCCAAGTAGCTGGAACTACAGGCGCGCGCTACCACGCCCAGCTAGTTTTTGATTTATAGTGGAGATGAGGTCTCGCCAACTTGCCCAGGCAGGTCTCGAAACTGGGCTCAGACAATCCACTCACCTCGGCCTCCCAAAGTGCTGGGATTACAGGCTGCACCACCGAGCCCAGCCACTTATCCAACTTTATAGACAAGGACTTGGCCCAGCTCCTACAGAAACAGTTGATAAAGTTGTAATCCAAGCACTCTTAACTACTCCATTATATCATTTGCACTAACATTTGTGGTTAACAATTATTAAAAAAAAAAAATAGCAGCCGGGCAAGGTGACTCATGCCTGTAATCCCAGCACTTTGGGAGGCAGAGGTGAGAGGATTGCCTGAGACCAGGGATTCAAGACCAGCCTGGGCAACTTCGTGAGCCCTCATCTCTACAATAAATCAAAAAATTAACCGGGTGTGGTGACACACGTCTATAGTTCCAGCTACTTGGAAGGTTGAGGCAGAAGGATTGCCTGAGGCCAGCAGGTAAAGGCTGCGGTGGCCGTGAGTGTGTCATTGCTCTCCAGCCTGGGCGACAGAGACTACCAAGAAAACAAAACAAAAAAATAGCACCCTCTTTTCAACATTTACCATATGCCAAGGACTATGCTAAGCACTTTATGTGTAATACCTCTTTGAATCCTCACAAGGATGCTATTGATATGCTAGGTGGGTATTATCTCCATTAAATTAAATTAAATTAAATTAATTAATTAATTTTTTGGAGTTGGAGTCTCACTCTGTCACCCAGACTAGAGTGCAGTGGCCGGGAGCCTGCTGGGTGCCGGTGATCCTTCCGCCTCAGCCTTTCAAGCAGCTGGAACCTACAGGCGCGTGCTACCACGCCCGGTTAATTTTTTGACTTATTGTAGAGATGAGGTCTCGCCAAGTTGCCCAGGCGGGTCTCGAACCGCGGGTTTAGGCAGTCCACTCACAGCCTCCCAAAGGCGTGGGATTGCAGGCTGAGCCACCGAGCCCGGCTTATCTCCATTTTACAAATGGAGAACTTGAGGCCCAACCAGGTAACAGGACTTGCTCAGGGTTATGCAAATGGTGAATGGTGAGGTCTCTCAGCCTTGTGGAGGCTGGTCCCTCAGCCCTGTGAACGCCAAACTGAGCATCTTGCCAAGTCAGGTAGGGTCCTCTGAGCTGTGGCCCCTCTGAATCTCAGGACCGCAGAGCAGGGGGCCCAGTCACCCTTCCTCCTTGTCCCCAGAATATCCTGCGCCAGACAGAGGAGGGGTCCAGCCGCCAGGAGAATGCCCAGAAGGCCTTGAGTGCTGTCAGCAAGGTGAGCCGGAGGGAGGCTGAGGTTGGGAAAGGTGACAAGGCGTTAGGGGAAGACGCGAGGGAGCAGGGGGCTGGCGGCTGGGATGAACGGGATCGGCTGCTCTCACCCAGATCATTGAGCGCTGCAGTGCTGAGGTGGGGCGCATGAAGCAGACTGAAGAGCTGATCCGGCTCACTCAAAGACTGCGCTTCCACAAAGTCAAGGTCAGCTCCTGCCCAGACCCGCCACCTTGCCCTTCTGCAGAGCTGTGAGGTAGAGCCTCCTCTGCTTCCTTGCAGGCCCTGCCCCTGGTCTCCTGGTCACGGCGCCTGGAGCTGCAGGGGGAGCTGACGGAGTTAGGGTGCCGGAGGGGGGGCGTGCTCTTCACCTCGCGCCCCCGCTTCACCCCCCTCTGCCTGCTGCTCTTTAGCGACTTGTTGCTCGTCACTCAGCCCAAGAGGTGGGTCCTAGGGAGGGAGTGAGCCCAGGCTGGGTTGGAGAGGAGGCGTCTGTCTAGGGGACCCCTGCTCTCCTTCTGAATGTCTTCTTTCCTGGGCAGTGGGCAGCGGCTACAGGTTCTGGACTATGCCCACCGCTCCCTGGTCCAGGCCCAGCAGGTTCCAGACCCATCTGGACCCCCTACCTTCCGCCTCTCCCTTCTCAGCAACCACCAGGGTCGCCCCACCCACCGGCTACTCCAAGCTTCATCCCTGTGAGTTGAGTGTCCTTCAGAAAATACCCTTGGGGCTCTCACCTGAGCTCTCAGACCCCACCGCCTCCTTCCCTAATCTTTCCCCTCTGTGGCCCCTGTCTCACTGCCAGTAAGAATCTCCTGGGCCAACTGGTGGGGATATGGGGAGGCCAACTCCTGGGCCTCACTATATCCCCACCAGATCAGACATGCAGCGATGGCTGGGAGCTTTCCCGACCCCAGGCCCCCTTCCCTGCTCCCCAGATACCATCTATGAGGACTGTGGTGAGTATTCCCTAGAGAGGAGGAGGGAAGGAAAAGTGAGTCTTGGGGAACACGAGGGAGAAACTAAAGAGACTTGATCCCACTGTAATGTCACCTGCATCCAACCAGACTGTTCTCAGGAACTGTGTTCAGAACCGTCTACACCTGTCAAGACTGAGGGACAGAGTCTGGAGTCCAGGGCTGCCCCTAAGCACCTGCACAAGAGCCCCGAAGGTAAGAGAATCTTTCATTTATTCATTCAATAAATATTTACTAAGCACCTAGGAAGTGCCACTTTGCTTGTTCTAGGCACTGTTAACCAAACAAACATAACTTCCTGCCCTGTTGGAGATACATTCTAGGGAAGAAGGCAGATACTAGAGAATCAACAAAATAGATATGTAAATTACAAAGTGTGTTAGAAGGTGATTAATTCATAGAAAAACAAAAGTGAAGAGCTGGGCGTGGTGGCTCATGCCTGTAATCCCAGCACTGTGGGAGGCAGAGGCTAGAGGATTGCCTGAGCCCACGGGTTCAAGATTAGCCTGGGCAACTTGGCAAGACCTCATCTCTACAATAAATGAAAAAATCAGCAGGGCGTGGTTGCATGCGCCTGTAGTTTCAGCTACTTGGAAGGCTGAAGTGGAAGTATCGCCTGAGCTCAGCAGGTCCAGGCTGCAGTGGCCATGAGAATGTCACTGCACTCCAGCCTGGGTGACAGAGTAAGACTCCGACTCCAAAAAAAAAAAAAGTGAAGCAGAACAAAGGAGGTCAGGAATTCCAGGGTTGGGCAGAGTTACAATTCTAAACAGGGGGTGGAGGTGGATCTCATTGAGATGGTGATATTTGAGTTTGATGGAAGTGTGTAATTTAGGCACACGGAATCTGGGAGTAGAGCGTCTCAGTTGGAGGCAGCAGGCAGTGCAAAGAGGCCAATGTGGTTAGTGGGAGCGAGAAAGGGAAAGAAGCGAATGAGGTCATAGAGGCAAGAGGGATCAGATCGTGCAGGTCCTGGCTGCTCTCGGTATGGACTCTCCCTCTTACTCTGAGTGAGATGAGTGGACTACTTCAGGGCTTAACAGAGGAGCAACCCAGACCCTTTCTGATGCTGCTGTCACCTCTACACCTGATACCCTTTCTACCGATGCTCCAGGCCTCTCCACTAATTCCCACGCTCCCCATTATCCCCAAGGCGTGAGACCTCCCTGGGGCCTCCTTTCCTGCCTCACCTGCTCCCTGCCCCTGCTCCCCTGAGGCCTGTTTCTCTTTCCCTAGGTTGGCTGAAGGGGCTTCCTGGGGCCTTTCCTGCCCAGCTGGTGTGTGAAGTCACAGGGGAACATGAAAGGAGGAAGCACCTTCGCCAGCACCAGAGGCTTCTCGAGGTCGTTGGGCCCTCTTCAGGCACCCCCAGTGCTCCCCCACCCTAATGCAGGCTGGGGAGGGGGTACAGGTTGGGAGACATCTAGCAGCATGGCATGAAGAGGAAAAAGCTCATCCATCCAATGGATTCACTGTCAGTGGAGACACCACCTCTAGTGGTAATCAACAGGGACCAAGCTTCAGGACAGGGCAGCCAATGAAAACAGGGCTGCCTGAGCCTATAGCAATAAGAAAGAATGAGGATGGTTGGAATGTGTTGCCAATGGAGACAGAGGCTTAGGGCAGAGCAGCCAACATTGCTGGCTGGCTGGCTGAGACAACGAGTATCCCTGCTATGCTCAGGGCCAAGAAGGACAAATCTAGGTCATGACATTTAAAAAGGGCCTCATTGGAGATAAAGTTCTAGGATAAAATAGCCAATAGGCATGAGCAGGGACCCACTCATCTAAAGAAGATGGTAATCTGGGCCTAAGAGACCGGCAGCTACCCTGCTTGGTTCTACAGCAATGACTGGTCCTGCCCTTTGAGTCTAGGAAGTATTAGATTCCCTTCTTGGGACTTCTCATGCCTATAATCCCAGCACTTTGGAAGGCTGAGGAGGGAGGACTGCTTGAGCACAGGAGTTCGAGACCAGCCTAGGCAACATAGTGAGACATTGTCTTTATAAAAAAAATCAAAAAAGGATTTGGGCATGGTAGCACATGCCTGTAGTCCCAGCTACTTGGGAGGCTGAGGCGGAAGGATCACCTGAACCTAGGAGGTTGAGTCTGCGGTGAGCTGTGATTATGCCACTGTACTCCAGCCTGGGTGACAGTGAGACCCAACTCAAAAAACATACAAATAAAAAAAGATTTCATTCTTGGGGTACCTCCTGTGCCCTCTCTAGGCAGTTCCTCTTATCCCGTGTGTTTGTCTCAAAGAATCTGTGAGTGCACGTGTGCACATGTAAGTTTGTATATATGTATCACGGAAGGTGATTGTGCTGAACATGGTGTGTGTGTATGTGTGTGTGTGGTGGTTTCGTTCCCCACCTTCCCATAGGTGATCGAATGTTCCATTTCTCCCCTCACCCTTCATTTTTCCTATTATTACCCCCAAGAAAGATACTAGGTGTGAGCTCCAGAAGAGAATGTGCCAGGTGTGGCTTGGCAATCAGAGGCGAGAGCCGAGGATGAGAACCCTGGGCTCTGGGTCTCTTGGAAGCCAGGGTTCCATGACAGTCGAAGAGTGATGTTCTGGAGTAGCCAAGCAGCTGGCAGAGGAGCCCGAGGGACTGAATATGGCCAGTAGCTGGGGCCCATGGCCCCCTGAAGCCTGTAGGCCCTTCTCCTTGGCCCAGACACTGGCTTCCATAATCCCTGCCTGAAGATCCTCCAACTTGAACTATAAACTGCCAGCCAGCCTCAGGCTCAGGCTTCAGAACCGCTCTGGGTCCCAGGTTTGGGTGAAGAGATGGGAACTATGGACCACAGGCCAGCCGCTGAGCCTCCTGGGCTTTCTTGACTGCATCCTGGTCTCTCACAGAAACACTGGGTCAAGGAGTGGGAGAGGACGGAGAGCTGGTGTGGCTGTCCAGCCCCATCCAGAGCATCTGCTTCTAGATGAGAAACTGCCCCAGCGTGATGCCAGAGGAGGTGAAGGGCAAAGACAGCACAGACAGTAGCTGGCAGGGGGGCCCAGGCCTGGGACGAGGCCTTCCCTGAGCCAGACCATCACACCTTCTCTTCAGCTCAGGCACGGTGACTTGCCCAGGACAGAAACGGCCACACTGACCATAGGAGGTGCACAGAGTTTGGAAGACTCAGAGAGAGAAGGACACTGCATTTGGCATATCCATGACATTGAGGACTCAACTGGCACAGTGCCTGATGTATGGGAAACCGTCAATAAATGGTGGTGGAGTTGCACTGAGGCTCTTTAGGAGGGGGGTGTGCTTTCAGGAACAAGGGTCTCTAAGTGTGGTTTTATAAGGTGGGGGCAGTGGGGCTTGGAGGCCAGGTGCAAGGCCTGAGTGTGTTGGCCCACTCACAGCCCCTGAGGATCTGGGGCAATGGTGGCAGTGGGGGTGAGTGTGCAGCTGCTGTGATCGGGGGCTGCTGCCAACTGGGGAAGACAAGGCAGGGCTAAGCACGTCTGGGGCTCTGGCAAGGGTTGAAGATGCAGGGAGAAGGACAAAAAGGGCAGTCAGTCAGTAATAAAGGCCCTTTACTGACCAGCCAAGCTTCTCTGTGCTTAATCCAATTCAATTCTACACCCATTTATTGAGTACCTTCTATGTGCCAGGCACTGTTGTAGGATCTGGGGATACAGAGATAAAAAAAGAAAGGGAGGCCAGGTGCAGTGGCTCATGCCTATAATCCCAGCACTTTGGGAGACAGAGGCAAGAGGATTGCCTGAGCTCAAGGGTTTGAGACCAGCCTGGGCTACTTGGTGAGACCTAGTCTCTACAATAAAACAAACAAACAAAAAAAGTTAGCTGGGCATGGTGGCACATGCCTGTGGTTTCCAGCTACTTGGAAGGCTGAGACGGAAGGAGCACCTGAGCCCAGCAGGTCAAGGCTGCGGTTGTCATGAGTGTGACATTGCACTCCAGCTTGGGTGACAGAGTGGGACTCTGACTCAAAAAAAAAAAAAAAAAAGAGCCGGGCTCAGTGGCTCAGCCTGTAATCCCGCGCTTTTGGGAGGCTGAGGTGAGTGAATTGCCAGAGTCCGCGGGTCCGAGACCCGCCTGGGCAGCGAGACCTCATCTCTACAATAAATCAAAAAAATTAGCCGGATGTGGTAGCGCGCGCCTGTAATTCTGGCTACTTGGAAGGCTGATGGGGAAGGATCGCCGGAGCCCAGCAAGTCGAGGCTGCGGTGGCCGGGAGCGGCCACTGCACTCCAGTCTGGGCGACAGCGTGGGACTCCAACTCAAAAAAAAAAAAAAAGAGAGAGAGAAAAAGAAAGGGCTTGCTCTCAGGGTTCCCACATTCTGGGGGTGGGGGCGGGCAATAACCAAGTCAAACTAACAAGTAAGATAAAAATCAGACAGCAGTAAGAGCTGTGAAGAAAATACATAAAGAATGTGACGTAGAAGGTTGTGTGTGTGTGTGTGTGTGTGTGTGTGTGTGTGTGTATGGGGGAGGTGGCTTTAGGGAAGACACTGGAAGAGGCATTTGAGCTGAGACCCAGATGACAAGAAGGAAGCAGGCCCGGGGAAGATCTGGGAAAAGAGCGTCCCTGGTGACAACAGGGAATTACAGTCCAGGAGCAGAAGGTAGTGGTAGTGGGGATGGGACTGCTGCATGTGCTCCTTCATGTTTCCTGGTGCGGGGGCCCTCCACACCAAGCTTCTCTCTCCCTTTTCGGTATAGGACAAAGACAAGGTGGGGTGCGGAGGCCCACATTTGAAATCCCAGTCCTTTGGGAGGCAGAGGCAAGAGGACTGTCTGAGCCCAAGGGCTCAAGACCAACCTGGGTAAATTGGTGAGACCTCGGTTTACAATAAATAAAAAAATTAGCCAGGTGTGGTAGCTCGTGCCTGTGATTCCAGCTACTTGGACAGAGTGAGCCTCCAACACAAACAAACAAACAAACAAATACTGGCAATTAGGGAGGCTAAGGTGGGAGAATTTCCTTTTTTTCTCCCTTTTTTGAGTTGGAGTCTCACTCTGTCACCAGGTTGGAGTACAGTGGGACGCTCACGGTCACCGCAGCCTCAACCTGCTGGGTTCAGGTAATCCTTCCGTCTCAGCCTTCCAGGTAGCTGGAACCACAGGCATGCACCACCACACCCAGCTAATTTTTTGATTTATTGTAGAGATGAGGTCTCCCCATGTTGCCCAGGCTAGTCTCGTACCCCTGGACTCAGGCACCCTCTTGCCTCTGCCTCCCAAAGTGTTGGGATTACAGGCGTAAGCCACCACACCCGGCTGGGAGAATATCTTAAGGCTAGGAGTTTGAGGCTGCTGTGAGCTATGATCGAACCACTGCACTCCAGCGTGGGTGACAACGCGAGACCCTGCCTCTAAATAATAATAATAGTTAATAAACAAAATAACTCGCCTTGCTCAGACAAAATTTATTTTCTTTCTTCACAATGATAAGGCAGATAGGACGGGAACTGACTTCTCTGCTCTGGCCCTTCTGTGGGCTCTGAGTCAACATCTTCGTGGCCATTATTGCCTGTGAGCCGAAGTGGGGGTCTGCAATCGTGACCACACTCTGTTGCATGGAAACTCTCCAGTTTCTCCTCCTTACCACCCCACCCAACCCCTGCAACCTGCTCACTAGCTCTCTCCCCCTCCTACTACCCCCAGGACGCTCCAGCCCACTCCCTGCGATCCTTTCCAGAGCCCTTCAGCCTGGCTGGCTTTCCGGCCCTCCCAGAAAGCTTCCCTTTCCTCCCTCATTACCCTCTTCAGCTATAGAGGTAACTGCGCGTTGCGATTCCCGGGGTTGACCAGTACACCAGCCAGGCGCAGCATCTAGCGGAGCTCCTCCGACAGCTCCACCGAGAGCTTGGCGGACTCCCGTAGCTGGCCCGATCTTTCTCCCCAGCACGCCTTCTCCAAACTACGTTCTCTCCACCCTCCAGCAGCCCGCGAGCGCCTCGAGCTAGGCCAAGGGGCGCAAAGTACCAGAACGCCTCGAGGTCTCCCCCAACCCAATAGAAACGCCTATCACCTTCGGGCGCGGCCTGATCCCGCTCTGGCCCCGCCCCCGAGAACGGCCCCGCCCTGAGTGAGGAGAGCGCGGCCCGACCCCGCTCTGGCCCCGTCCCCGAGAACGGCCCCGCCCCCAGGTTTGGCCCCGCCTCCAGACCGTGCCCCGCCCCTCCCCGCGGACTGGCCTCCTTGCTCACTGCTGATAACCTGGGCGCGGCCCGAGGGCTCCGCAGCCCGAGATTCTGGCAGCAGAGGCTTAGCTATTTTTGACTGGGCTCTGTCTCCTGGTTCTCAGTGTCCACCTCCCACGCGAGGCGGGGTCTGGGGGTGGGTGGCCCGTCCACACGGAAGAATCCTTACGAAGTTGAAGCGCAGGCTGTCCACGTCCAGACAAGCGTGCGCCGACGCCCATTAGCGCGCTGCTCATCTTCCCCACTGACCTGCCCAATTCTCGCGGTCGCCCAGCCCGCCCAGCTGTCCCGGGGTCCGGGAGCTTGGCCTATGTTTAGCAGTTTGATCCAGCTAGGCATTTTACACCGATATCTGCACGCACCATCGCCGCTAGGCATTGAGCCTTGCCGTGGTGCTTGATCTCGGGTTGCTCCCCATCCGACTCCTGACCCCGAGGCTTTCCCCTACTCGGTCTGCCTTTAGCGTCAGAAGATGCCTTCTGTGGGAAGGGTTAAGGTTGAATCCAGATTTCGTGGGCCCCTTTTAAAGAAAAAG